CACTTTCTTGATCAAAGGGATTTGAAATTTTTGTTATTGCTTTCATGAACTCAATACCTTGCCAGGCATTCTTTGTCAGTTCATGACTGTGTCATCTTATGAATGCATATGTGGCGGTAGTCAAATATGGGAAAATAATGGAACTTCTATAAAAGTGAAACTTTTTGACTTTCATTAATTCAGTCTATTTTCCAAGATAACTTATTTTATTACATAGAACTGTAATTGTATTGAAATAAATTATTTGAAATAAATTAAAATAATATTGCTGTTTATCTGAAAATGAACAGTACTTAAAATAGTGTTTTTGTTTCTAAGCTTCATTCTTAGTGTGCATAAACAAGGAGAGACTTTTACTTCTTTGTTCAGGATATTTCTGATTCTTTCACTGCTTACTTATGTCCACTTACAAACTCATTGTTTGCAATTAGATGGCTTCTTTTACTAATAATGAGTTGTAATATCAAATACCTTTGTAAGTCTGTTACACAGATATATTAATAGTGACCACTTCAGCATTCACATAACAAGATGATGGGAAAGGTGCAGATAGATTTGTGTCAAGATATCACATAGCAGTATTCAAAATGTAAGCTAGCCAGTTAAGCTCAAGGTTGAAAGGAAATACGGTTCACATGAAAGTAACTTTATATAAGGCTGTTAGTATATAGTGCTTATTATATGACAGAAGAATAGTCTTTAAAAAGTAAAAGACCTTTAGCACCTTATGGATTGGTTTAAAATAGAGGCTTTTTGTTGCAAAGGGAAGTTGAAAAGAAATGCTCTTACAAGATGCAAGGAGCATCTTGTTTGTAAATGCAGTGACTTTTCAGCTGAACCTTACACCATCTGTCTAAACAATTTACAACATTTGTTTAAACATTAATATTTGACAAAGGTGGATTTTTATTTGTTTTAAGTAAACATCATATTGGTTCCAAGTCTGAAAAATAGCGCAGAATGTTCTGTTCCTTTGTGGAGGCACTTTCAGTGTTTGGTAGTCGTCAGCTGTGTTGTCCACTAAATAAATGATTTCTAGCTTTTTCAGTTATCACAGGTAATGCACCTGTAGGAGGTTCTTTCGAGTAATTTATAAAAAGCACAAATTCCAATCATGGGTGCACCCATAGTATTTTCAAAAATAGACCCTAAACCAAAACAATGTAGGAAGTATAAAGACAAGAGAACTAGGCAACTGCATTTTAGCGTCTGCATAGACATACTTAATTGTATACCAAACAATATTATATCTTTTGACACTTGTAAGCTGTCATTGAAAGATATAAAAAGAAAAATTTGGAGGAGATACCCAATTAGTCAAACCATCTTATTCAAGAAAAGAAGTAACCAAGAAATATAAGCAGATAATTGAAGGTATATCCTAAAAGTAAGTGAAAGCATGAGGAATTTTGTAATGACCTAACATTTTAAGAAAAAGCTAATCAGTAGCTGTTTTTACAAATTGTCCTTCTATGGGAGATAGGAAGCTTTTCAGGTTTTTTTTGTGTCTGGTTTGGAGTAGGGATTTGAATGCAAGTTTCCCATCGTCTAAGGAAGTTCCCTTCTTGCTCACTTGGGTTCCGGGAGGAGGGTGATCTTCCTCAGCTTCTTCTGTCAAAACTCATCATTAAAAACTTCCAACATGAGAGAACTACTGATAACTTGCATAACATCATGGTCATGCTCTCCAGTTATTGGTGTTATTTTTATCATGTTCTTTCAAATGACTGGGATCTGGAGGTAGAATACATTTAAGACTATAAATGGGCAGACATATGAATTTTAGAGGCTTTTGCTGTTTTCTAAATTTTTCATTTTGCTGGCTGCATAAATGAATTATAGCAGACAAATTCGAGGTCATTTTCTTCAAAATTAAATATTTATTTTAATCTGAAACTTACCATCCCATTCTTAGCCACAGTGATCTCATTTTGACAAAATCTTCTGATATATTGAAGGTAGAATGTTTCCGATATAACCAATAGTTATATTATTCTAATTTGCACAATCCAGATCAGGGATACATAAAACTTTCTGAACTAAACATGCTAGAAATGACATTTTTCTGAATATCAGGTGAAGCATGTTATGAGTATAATTGCATTTATTACTATTCCCAAGAGACAATTACTGTTTCAGTGAGAACAAAACAGAGTCTTATTAGAGACGTGAAAATACCGTGTATCTGTTTGCCAAATATATCACTAAACTGTACACAAAAAATCTGAATACTTATTAATAGCAGCAAAAAGATTGAATGCTAAGTATGGTTATCACAGCTCAGTTGATGGGAAGTCAAAAAAAAATGTAACTGGCTAATAAGAACATGTTGATATGAAACGTATTTTTTAAATCACTCAGAGTTGATCTAACTGTGGTTTTACTAAGTGATTAGCATAATGTATGATAATGGAGAACAAGTAAATACTTGAAAAAGTGTTTAAGTTAAAAATATTTTCATGACCTAAATATCTATCCCCACTTTTTTTTGGTTATGGGTTTCTTTTTCAATACCGCATGCAAGAATGTCACAAAGTGGCAAAACTCACATGGTTTGAACATAATTGCAGTTGGCTTACTGGTTTTATTAATAGCAATATTAACTAGCAATTAGTGAACTATATGTTCAGTGTCAAGATCAGCAGTGCAACAGATAAAGCACAACATTAGATGCTGATAAAATGTTAATACATGCATGCAAATACCTAAACAGTCTTCTATATGTAATCCCAACATTTTCTAATAAACACACATGCTGAGTTAGATGCAGACACCTCCTGCTCACACGACGTATGTGTTACCAGCACATCCTCTCTTCTGGGGTTCAGGTTCCCCTGTACACACCCGCCCTGCAGGAGATGTGGCCTCCCTACCTTTGGGTGTATTTCTGCAACTTGGTAATGCCCATGGCAGTGAGCCAGAACTCCCTGGGTTCACACTTGCACACTCGAGGTGTGTGTCCCTGCGTGGTGCACAGTGTTATCAGGTTTTGGGCAGGTACCCTTGAGACACTTTTGGGTCTCCATTTACATATGCTTCTCTTTACCAAGACCCAAGGTGCCTGTTCTGTGTGTACTTTTCTCTCACTGATTCACCATTAGTGGTCATACATATCTTATTTGTTTATTTATTTTAAAAAACTGTAGTCATTTTATGTCTCTTATTGCTTTATCAACATTTTTTGAGTGAGCCATGTCTTTACTTTCATTTCCGCCTTGAAATCCAGTCGCTAATGTTTAGTAAAAATGAGAATTTCTGCTCTACAGAAGATTTGGGGGGAAAAAATTACATTTTGCATAGAAAAATGTAAATTCTGAAGATGTCTGGAAAGGCAAAAACTAGATAACATGTATTTAAAACTGAAACTTTTAGATTATTCCTAATATTGATCTTAGATCCAAGTTTTGCATCTTACTACAGCACCTAGTTTCTCATCAATGTACATGTCCTAAAGTTACGAATTAAAAATACCAAACTCTCCAGAAGTCAGATGTGAAACCAGACTGGCTTCCAATGAAGAAAATTGCCTTCAGGTCTTGTAAAGATTTTTTCCAAATCCTTTCACAGAATGTCCTGTTTTCCAGAAATCAGATTTTTTTTATATCGAAAAAAAGCTCTAGTGGCCAAAGACGCATGGTCCACAAGGCCAAAAGAAGGCTTGTTCTCCACTTTTCCAGCTTTGCCTTCGCTGTCTTTTGCGATTGTCTCTCCCCATTTTTCCATCTGAAATGTACAGTGGATTTTATTTTTACTTCTTTGTTCACATTTGTATGGTCTCCCTTTTTGACAGCTGGCCCAGGTGGGATTTCTAGAGGGAGGAGGAGATTGTTTGCTCCCGCTTGTAATTTCTCAGGTACTCAGATTCATCTGTAGGCCTCCAGCTCCCTGCTGTGCCTCTCACATGGGCTTCCACCTGGTATGCTCTGTAGTCTCCGGTCCCTCTTTGGGGAAGAAAATAGGCTGTTCTGGGCAGACAAGCTTTCAAACAGCCAGATCTCCAGGGTAATGAAAAGAGAAACTTCCAGGGAATTAGGGGGTGCTGGGCAGAGCTTGCTACAACACTGAAAGTCACAGTCTTAGCTGAAACAAAGTCTGAAAGTGAGGACCTACCTACAAGGATGCTGTGGGCAGGTGGGGGATTGCAGAAAAAGCTCTTGTAACTTGTGTTTCATCCTCCCAGGTCAATCTGAGGTTTTACTATTAAAAAAGCACTCATTCAAGTTTGTATTCCAAAAACATTATATCTTTTTTAGTTTAAAGAACTTTTGTTTTTCTCTGGGAAGCTCACTATAAAGAGAATGTCTAGACAGGTCTATGTCAAAGCTGTGGACAGCTCAGGATCCCATTACTCCATCATTCTGTGTAAGCTCACCATCTCCTTTTTCTTTGACCCATATTGCAGGTATTATCTTTGATTCAGGTCTTGTCCCCAAGGCCTGCCCATCAAGGCTATGCTCCTCTCTTGCCATTTTTCCGTATATGGTTATTTTAAGGTCAGTTGTTCTTCTCTTTCCACAATGCTCAGGGTCTGCATTAAGTGATGCATACCTCACATAGTACAGTTGCCTCTTAATTAGTCTGAATAACATCTCTACTTCTCTGCTCATTTCTGTTCAAAATGTTGCTGTTAATATTAGTTCCTTGGGTAGTTTTTACAGTCTCGGTCTCTTGTTTTGCTCCACTAGTTCCTTCCTCTGTCTGCAAAGAATACAATAAAAGAGAAAAAAATGCAAAATACTCTAACTATATTGTGTTTTTATATATGGAAGAGATTGTTAATTCAGCATCCAGATTTTTTAGACTTGGAGAAGGGGTGGAGGGAGGAGGAAAAAAGCAACAAAGCAATGAATGAGACAATTCTGAAATGTCAACATTTTAGGGAAGTTCTTTAAATATTTTTTTCTCAAGACCTGGACAAAAAATAATGACTGAAATGGTGATATCCACTTTATCTTCTGAAAATTAAATGGCTTTGTCTTTTTATATATATATTTTTTTAGGTCCGAACATGGATTCTTACAGTGGGATACACAACTGCATTTGGAGCAATGTTTGCAAAAACATGGAGAGTTCATGCAATTTTCAAAAATGTAAAAATGAAGAAAAAGGTGAGGGAAAGTAAACTCTTTTATTGTTGCTCTGTGAATATAATTTTCTAACAGTTTTGCTACCTTTCCTGGATGGCCATACTTGAGCTGGCTCTGTTCATGTGTTAAAAGATCCTACAAAGGTGTGATATTGTGGCTTTCTTGTTCTCATTTTTAATCTCTGAGAGTTGGAGTTCAGCAGCAGCCCTTCAGTCTTTTTAATGAGAAGTGGACAGTGGAGATGGCTGTAAACTTTCAAAGTGAATTCAGACACTCACTCTTATTTAATATGTTGTTTCAGCATCTAGAGGTTGTCTTCTGGTAGATCCACAGCTGTTATGAAATGTTTTCTGCATATGTCTGTTTGGGATGCAGGTATTCCACACAAGTTTCTGATGGGTTGGTAGAGGGAGGCAAGAGCAAGTGCTGCTTATACAACTTTCTATTTCTAATTTTGATTGAAATTACATAAGCGTACCCTAAGACCCATCAGAATTGAACCACAGTAGTCGTCTCCAGCATTTTTGGTACAGAACATTTTCTGCAAAAGATTAGACTCACGTTAGGAGTAGTACAACACCTCATGTTTGTATTGTTCATTTGATAATTTTCCTATGGAGCTTCTTTCCAAATATGAAGTGCTTTTAATCAGATGGCTTTATTTAAAAATGGAAAAACTGGTGAACAGAAATAATTTTGATGGAAAAAAAAATTAAGAGAAATATGCATGAAACAGAGGAAAAAAATAATATTATTGTAGAGTGAGAAGTAGTGCAAATGCAGTTCCTATATGCAGATGAATCAATTTGTTCTAATAAGCGGTAAAGAGTCATTTACAACCAAAATCACAGAATCACAGAATGGCAGGGATTGGAAGGGACCTCTGTGGGTCATCTAGTCCAACCCCCTTCCAAAGCAGGGTCACCTACAGCAGGTTGCAGAGGACCTCGTCCAGGCGGGTTTTGAATATCTCCAGAGAAGGAGACTCCACAACCTCTCTGGGCAGCCTGTTCCAGTGCTCCGT